CAAGGTCGCCGAGGGGGTGAGGGGTGAGACGAGGGGGAGATTGAGAATCGGTTAAAATACCCTACTTGTAGATATTTTAATGTTATTTTGTTTTAAGGTATTCTCCTTATGTTGTTGTAAAGGTTAGTTATAAAAATCGTTGTTTGTTATTCAATAAGGATGAATTTTAATTTTTTTAATTATTTTTTTATTTTAAACATATATTTTATGCCAGCAAATTTTGATGTCAAAAAAAATTAAGGAAATGTCGTACATTTGTATTTAAAGTTTTTTTTTCTATATTTAATTATTATTTAACCGATAGGTGGATGTCAAAATACAAAAAAAAACCTGTAACTACATTCCGCGACGTACTAATAACCCACCTTGTATATTAAATAAACTTATCATGATCATCAAATATTAAAAAAATTATATCCCAAGCTATTTAAAATATCATTACGAATTTTGTTTATTTGGAAATATATTTTCTGCAGTATATCAATACAAAAAATTAAAATAGTAGCTAATTAACGAAATTATGATTAAATAACCTAACTGTGACACCGCTGCAGAATATCATATGAAACTACATAGATATTCGTTGATTCTTTAAAACAATTTTATCAATACCTACATCATACATTTAAGTAAATACAGATAAAAAAGTGTACAAAATAAATCCGTATGTACGCCTGACAACATTGCCAAAGTGTTGTTTATATGTTGCTAGGATACACGTAGGAATGCGGGCCGCTGCATTTGATTCTTCCCAAAATTCTGCTGGTGGTGTACTCTTTCGGCAATTCGGAAATTTAAAACTGCTCTCCTATTCCAGTAGCGGTCTGGGGCGAAGTTATTTTGTCTGTGTTATTAGTATGTCTTGCTCGCCATTATGTTTCCTAACATCTAGCTCTTGTCTCAGCTCCGTATGTCTTTCCTCTGGAATCGGTGTTTCATCATCAATTATAGAGAAATTCTTTGTAGTCCCATTATCTAGTATCATAGATATCTTGTTTTCGATAATAAATTTTGCTTCAGAGAAACAATTCAGTAGTTAATACTTTTTGAAACTGACGCATATCTGAAATATAATAAAAATTAAATTATATTTAGAATTAATAGAATAGTAAAGGCGATTATTTATTTAACCAAAATTTGTGTATTATTCCAATTAATTAAGGAAACGCGTTAACAAATCGAGATGTGAAAAGGAATGAATTCAGAAATTTTGTAGAATGATAAATTAAATTATAAGAGTATTAGCAGGGATGGGCGTTTACGCGTCGACTTTAATTGTCGACGTCTACGTGTAGACTTCGCGTAGACTATGTAAACAACGTAGACTATGTATACAATGTAGACAAAGCGGAGTTTGCGCTCTAATTTCAGTTTAATCTAACCTATATTATATTTGCGTTACATTTACGTATGATCTATTTTGTGCTGTACTCAATTCATCACTCAACTTTTTCTGTTTGGCTGTTATTTTTACATAAACATAAAATGAGCGGACGTAAACATAGAACATAGACATAGAAATTGACCAAAATAATATCAAGTTAATTTAGGGTTGAAGTCAGAAAGTTGGTTGAGGGTTTGCTTAAAGAATACACTGTCTGAATTAAAATTTTCTTGGTAGCTAACGCTTAATATTATTCAGTCCTGCTAAGTAAATCAATTATTTTATAGAAACATTTGACAATTTATGGTGACTTGACATTCTTGACAATTATGTGTTAATTTTCGAATAATTTTTAAATTGGTTAAAATTTCACAGTTTTTTAATTTAATCTCAAGTTAAAAGACTTGAAAGCTTGACAATTAAATAATACAAAATGTTCTATAAATTAAACCTTCAACCAATCTTCTGATTGCAACCAATTTTTTTGTTCTGAATACATTATTTATTTTTCGTTACATATTTTAACTACCAATAATGTTGATGATTATGTTATTATACACTTGTTAAACAATTTTAAAGAATAAAGTTTTATTTTATTTAATTATGTATTTTTGTAATGGGGTATTTTCTTTCAATCGAAATGAAAGTGAAAACTTTCATTTATGTATACTTAATATATATTTTTTTATATTTTTTAAAACAAAAATTATTATAAAAAAAATTATATAAATATATAAATTAACACAGTCAGTAAGAAACAGTTTATTTAATTTTAAATTTTAGTCTCCATTCGTGACCTCATTAAAGTGAAAACTAGGGAATATATATAATACTCATATATGTATAGAGGTACATATACCAATAAATACACATAATATTTAGTCTGAGAAAATGCAATAAAAAACATTATCTTGTGCCTCTGCAAATATTTACAGAAATATGTTACCATTTATCGTTTATTGAAAAGCTCAGCTCTATATGATATGTATTAAAATCTTATCTATTTACATAATATGATCTAGGATTGAAACAAAAATTATTTTGAAAGGGTACCTATATTATAAATTAGTAGAAATATTTAATAACATTTTTTTCTATTAATTTCTGTAACTCTTAACACCTTTAGAAAAAATAAAATTAACGTGTTCTAACTAAACTAAAATATCTACACAAAGTGTTCTTAAAACTTAATCAGATATTCCAAATTGTTGCTGACTTTAAAAATGATAAAATTTTCATTAAAGAATATATGCGACATATCTTTATTTAGAGATTTTATAGAAAAAAAAAATGTTGGTCAATCTGACCTGACCTAAAACTATCGAGGAGCATCAAGCGAGACACATTTTTTTTTCTCGTGAATTCTCGGCAGATATTGTTTGATCTTTTGTACTCGGTTCATACATTTTTTTTATAGATGGTTGTGATACTGATAGGTAGGTACTTTTCCAAATTCCAAATTTTCAGTTTTTCTTTTTTTGCAAGAATCACGAGTTACAGCCTTACGAAATTCTTTTTTTGAGGTACATATCTACCACACCTTTTTCTAGTTTTGAGAGTTTCTTAATTGTTGACATTGTCGACATTGTCTACATTGTCGACTCTTCCAAATTAAGTCTTCATCTAGATCATCGTCTACGCGTAGACTATTGCATTGTCTACGTCGAATTTGTCTACCCGCCCAACCCTGAGTATTAGTCACAAAAATGTTTTTGTTATACCTATTGAAGCAACAACCTTCTGACACTAGAGGTTAATCTTTGAGGTCAAAATTGAATAGGGCATCTTATCAATAAATAGACGCAATTAATGTTTTAAACCATTTATTTATCTGTTCATACACATTCGCCACATTCTGTTTCTATAGCAGTTGAGAACTGTATGTAGACTATCAGATATATTCGACCATTTCGTTTGTGCCCTTACAGTAGTTGAAAGTACGTGAACACAGTTTGAGACTTTGCAGAAACAAACCTATGGTGAATATAAGGAATTTCTACAGACTTTTATATTTATCAGAATTATGCATTCTATTTTACACAAAGTTAGGATGCGCTATGTTGCTCTTACATTACTTTTCTCTATTTATTTGTGGGAATATGGAGCAACTTACAAGCACGATCCATGGGGTAAGTAAGTGTTTATGATTTACGTATACTGAACTGAAATATTCTCAGTTTTTCTCGAACAACTAATTTATATAATACCTACAAAGAATAAATTAAGAAAATGTATGAAACTATAGCAAAATCCTATCAAACTGACTGAATAAAAATGTTCTTTATCAAAGATATAGTATTGTTATATAGTAGTTATAAAGTATTTGTGGTAACTATAGTTTTAGTTTTTTCTTCTTATTAAGTTTTCCTTAATTTCATAAAATTAACCATTTTTATTTGGCAAATATTTATTTTCTTCACAGGCGACAAAACACTCAATATTTTGCAAATATACACCTACTGTTTTTCTTATTTCGAGCAAATTTTTTCATACTTTATATGAACTATTTAATAAATTAATAAATATTTTAGGTATACTGTATAGGATGTCACTAACTTTTTATTTTGCAAACTTTTATCTAGAAATTGTAATATTGTAGTATAAGTATGTGAAGTACATAATTTACAGTATTTGAAGATAAATGCATTTTCTATCGTTAAGTATAAGCTTTTAATGTTTTAGGTCCTCTCAAATCAATTCTAAGAATTTCTACTAAACATTTATCTAGTACCAGACTGACGATTATGATGAATTACTCTACTAATGATAGGGATAAAACTAGTTCATTTCATATATTGAATGAAATATGACATAATTTTAATAATGATTTTTCATTAATATTTTTTGATAGCATACATATCAAAAAATTTTTAAAAAGAAGAAATATAAACAAATAAAAATTTTAAAAAACTTTTAGAATTAAACTGGTTATTATTAATACTGTCTGTTGTTTTAGTATCACAAAATACATTTTCAATTGAAGGCATAACCATTCCTCTTTTTCAATTTGGAGAAAAAAGTTATTATATCGGAGAATCAAAGGTATGTACAAGGTGAGCCAAATATTTCAGGGTGGCTAAGTAACTACCAAAGACAAAAAAAAACTATTCCCGATTCATTTTTAAAACAAATTCAACTGTTAAATTAAATATGTGACATCTTCATTTGCTTGTTCGAATTACAGGGCAATATTCATTTTAATAACATTTTCAACCACCTCTGTCTATCTGCCATTAGAATTAAAGAAAATAAATAATCTCTTTCTGCTTTCCAACGTTATGAATATGCCATAATTGACATTACTGACGATACTACCGTTTAGTTAGCAGTGATTTTCACGAAAAAGTTTAGCTGTATCAAAAAAATATAAAAAGCTAAAATTCAAGATCGTTGCATTACTGATTAGATGGTGAAAATAAATTTTAAAATTTTTTCACTGTAAATAGTTAATAAAATTTGAAAATATAGTGTGCATTTAATTCTTCATCGGCCAATATCTCGGAAACAGTTGGTCTCAGGGATTTAGACCGAGTATACCTTTTTTACGTAAAATTGATAAGGGAATATAAACGTTTTAATACGAAACGTCAATGTACAAGGCAGTAAAAAAGTTAGGGCCAATTTAATTCAAGCTTAGCCTTATATGTGGCGCCCTCTACAAGCAGCGTTAAAAGCAATTACATATTTAAATTTAGCACCCTAAAAAAACTGCCGTATCCCAAGTTTTATGCCAAGATTCAGATCTGTTTGGAAAGTATTCCTAAAAAAATTGATAAAAATTGAATACAGCATTTGTGGGCCCATGTTTATAGGAAGAAAAGTCTTATTTTGACCTCAAAAATAAGCCTCTAAATTCTTTGTACTGAGTTTTGAATCAGCCTGTATAAATTCTTTTCAAATGCTTTCACTAATTTTTTGAAAATAACTATTTCTTTACTCTCTTTTCCTCAGTTTGCTGAAGTCACATACACCACTGTAAATCTTTTTGATACAAAACGCGACACCTTATTGAACTGCTTATTACAGATTATTTATGTTCAAATCACCATGTCACTGTATTTCCCATATTTACTAAAATAATCATTATCGGTATAATCACTGGAAAACAGAAAAACATTACCTACTTTTTTGAACAAGAGATAAGTCCGTTTCTTATAAGAAAATATAAATGAGGTTTGTCATTGAAAACCTAGTGCCATTAATTTGCGTCTACACTGAAAAGTTCATCTATAGGCCAGTTATTACTTATTGTTACCTATCTATCAGCGAAACTATGTAAGTGGCTCACAAAAAATAATGTGCTAGTTTTTTCGTATCTCTCATAGTTTTTAAAATCCTAAATAATTTGACTCAAAATAGTATATTTCATTTTCTGTCACGCTCAAGTACTTCGATTATGACTAAAGTTTTTTTGAACTGTGAGACATCTTTCGGTAAAACCAAATTTTGGACCCCAATAAAAAAATGAAGATTTTGGTATTTTCAATGACCAACTCGAGCTAATCAATTACTTTGTTTGTTTGTTAAAATTTCAAATATAGATTTTATTTTTCAATAAATACAGTGGCGCAACTTTACATAGCTCTAATGATTTTCGTATATACATACGTATATTGTATTTGTCTTTCTTTGTTTTTAGTATTACCGCATAAAATATTATTGTGTTGTCCTCTTACTGGAAGATATTTTGTTGAGCAATAAAGTGCATTATTATCAACCTTGATTTCCATAAAAAAGCAATATCTTTAATTTGTAACTCAAAAATATCTACGGGATAAAGCGTCGGTAAACTAGAATAAAGTCAAGCTATAGCTGCTACAGGAGTCGGTGGAAAATTTTAATTTTTTTGAGTCAAAAAGATATAGGCAGAAAATTTGTTTTGACAAAAACGTTTCTCCTAAAAAAGTTACCAAGTTCGAGTAATGGGATGCACTGTACACTGAATATGGAGTACAACTTCTTGTAGTAACATTAAAAACTTCCAAAATCTTAACTTTTAGAGCATTATTATTACTTACCCTTAATTTGTGATAATAATGACGCAGGTAGAATTACTTGGATACACCACTGGTTCCTTAAATCATTTTAATACTATTATCTGTGGCTTAACATCTGATTTAATTAAATATGTAGGTTTTACTTTTTAGCTGACATATTTCGAAGCAGGCCAGTTTTGCAAGAACATCAATATGGAGTTAGTGACAGTACATTCATTCGAGGAATTTGAGACATTGTGGAATTATATCCGAAGGACAAGTAAGTATTAAAACCCGTGAATGTAGTGTAGATATTGACAGTGGGGGCGACATTTAAGTGAAACTTTAATGAATGACCCCAAGGAGCTCCAGCATTTGAAAGCTAAAACAAAGCACAATTGTAAGAACAGTTTTCTAATGGACACAAAGATGTTTTAATTTCTGATAGACTATAACCGCATAGCTTCTCAGGCACAATTTCCTATACAATACCTTTCTTATTTTCTAGCTAATTTAAGAAAATTATGGACTTCTGGTTCAATTTTACTAAACGGGCATGACTGGATCTGGATGTCGACAATGGAACTTGTGAAATTCACCAAGTGGAAGCCAGGAGAACCTAATAATAGACTCGCTGAAAAATGTCTGGAGTTTCTGAGCGATGACAATATAACATTTTTGTTTAATGACAGGGATTGCAGTGCAAAGGTTGCTTTCATTTGTGAAAGAGATAGGCGTCGACTGGTTTCTGACAAGACAAGCAACTCAAGTAAGATTTTGAATTGATTTTAGTATTTTTGTTGTGTGATACAGAATAGATCAATCAATTAAATACTTTTTTAACATTAAAGAGGCAACAATTTGAGATATTCTATTTCTCAAGGCTTTCATATTGTGAAAATTATAATAATTTAAATTTCTTTATTACTTAATACTTTAAATTTCACTGTGATCTCATCATTGTCCAATGTCTTACTTCTGATCTTGAATTGGTCAAGAAAACTTACTTTTTGTAATATCAGATCAGTCATAAAGCTGTGACACATTAATAAATTCAGGGTGGCCCAATTGAAATAGTCCACCTGAAATATTTTAAATGCAACAGATTTTTCTGGAAACCGGTCGATTTAGCTTTCAAGTGGGACATCTTTTGATTACAAATTCATGGATGAAGGGTCATCCCCCTAAACGGGGTGGCAACCCCTTCAAGAATCCTAAATGACACGAAGGGTTAACTGGCACATCATTTTAAAGATTTTTCAATCTTCTTTACAAACATGCTGAAATTTTTTTGTTCTGCCTTAAAATTAATGTAAAAAACCTGTTGGAAGTGTCGGTAAAATAAATAGAAAAAAAGATTTAAAATAGTAATAAAAAAACTCACCGAATATTGAAAGTGTAAAAAATGAGGTTTATTATCGAAGTCTTGCTGAGGTGCTGGGTTTTATTAGAATTTTATGTGTACTATTATTCCGATTGTACATAAATCAGAATTGTCTAGGTAGGGAAATCCATTGATTAGTTATTATTCGCTATTTTGAAGCAAACGATTCAAATCATCATGGTTTACACCACTGCAGAGAGAATTGAAATTGGCACTCTCTGTTTTCGAAATAATGAAATAGCCCGGGTAATTGCAAGAATTTTAATGAAAGGCAACCCGATCGGAATCTAAGCCATTCCCACGTAATAAATTTAATATCTAAATTCATGGACACTAGATCCATTGCTAACAAAAAACATGAAAGGCTACACACTGTTACTGACGAGGCTGCACAGGTTGCAATTTTGGGACACGTTTGAACTGGATCCAGTTCAAGCACCAGAAAATTAGAGGCAACTTCGGGAATTCAACGTAGTAATCTTCAGAGGATCTTGAAAAAGCATCAGTTCTATCCCTATAAGACTCATCTCGTGCAAGAGCTCAATGAAGATGATTCAGATCGACGTATACAATTTTGAGAACAGAAAAATTTTGAACAAACCCAATTTTTTATATTGTACATGTTGTTCTAACGAATGAACATTCTTTCTTAAAGGTTACGTCAACAGACATAATTGCAGATACTGGAGTGATTCAAATCCTGAAGTTATAAGAGAACAGTATTTACAGTATTCCGAAAAGTTGAATGGGAAATGATTTTGGGAAATAATATTGTTGGTCCATTTTTTCTACCTGCTAACTTTACGGCTGAATCTTACCTCCATTTATTTCAAGATTTCATCTACCCTCGCATTGTGGAGATTCTTGACAACGATTGTCAGATCCAAGAGAATTATGTATTTTTCAACAGGATGGCGCTCCACCACACTATGCAGCTGCTGTACGTGACTTTTTGAATCAACATTTTGCCGACCACTGGCTTGGTAGAAGGGGTTTCATTGAAAGGCCCCCAAAATCGCCTGATTTAACACCACTGAACTTTTTCTTATGGGGTCATTTAAAAAGTGTTATTTATACGAAACCTACCTCTTTAGAAGATCTTCGCAACCGAATAGTGATGAAATAACCCCTGAAATGCTACGGGAAAATGTTGAACAAAGGTTTTATTACTGTATGGAAGTAAACGGTTTGCAATTTGAACAATTAATTAAATAAAACTTGTTTGAAAACTTTTTTGTTTCAATTTATTTCACCGACACTTCCAACAGGTTTTTTACATTAATTTTAAGGCGGAACAAAAAAATTTTTGTAAAGAGAATTGAAATACCTTTAAAAATGATGTACCACTTAACCCCCGTGCCATTTAAGATTCTTGAAGAAGTTGCCACCCCGTCTAGGGGGATGACCCTACATCCATGAATTTATGAAAGCAAAATCGACCTGTTTCAGGGTTTTCCGGAAAAAACTGTTGCATTGAAAATACTTCAGGTGGACTATTTTAATTGGGACATATGTATTTATTTTATTTTTCTTACAGATTCCTTTAAGCACTATCCAAATAACCCCACATTGCCTATAACGATCATAGATAATGTAAAATATCGAGTCAGCAAGTACGCAGTAAGTAAAAAATAATATATGTACAGACGTATGGATAAAAAGGTTCATTAATTGTTATGGATATTGAAGAAAACTTGGTTATTTAATTTATTGTTATGACCAATATTTATTCCTTTATTAAACGCAAATTCGAGATTAGAATGCTCTTAAAAGTAGGTTTTAAAGGAAAGAATGCGGTAAAGAAATGAAATCAATTTGCAATTTTTTAGTTTTAAGTTTGAGACAACCGCAAATCACAAGAGAGGGATATATTAGGTACTAAAAAGTTAAACATAAACATGAATTTAAAAGATAAAAATTAATTTTCATACTTGTTGGATTGCATAAGAACGATTACTTAGAATTTAAGTCATCGTTTTTATGCAATCCAACACATTCGTGGTGATCGTACTGAAATTATATTAGTTCAGAACTCTTGTCAGGGGTCTTATCTTCTTCACGAATAACTAATGGTAATTATACAGGGTAGCCCATCGAAAACGTACCGCAAGGCATTACAGGGTAGGAAAGAACTTTTCGGCAAAATTCAAAAACAGGTCAAATTTGTTTCTGAGGGGGACAACTTTTGGCTCAAAAAGCATACCAAAATCTTCAACCCCCTAAGTGGGGGTGCTATCCCCTAAATTTTTTCAAATGGGAATGGGGGTCAAGTGGGGGGTCATTAGAAAGGGCTTTTAATTCTCTATACATCGATTCTTACTTTTTGAAAATCGATTCATTATTTTAGAAAATATGCAGCTTTGAAAATACGAACAATATTTTTGACGAGAAATGCGAAAATCGATTTAATTTTACTTCAAAACTTACGGTATTAGTCAAGTAAATGCTGAAAATGTTGTCCGCCAACTTGCATACAATGATACAGGTTGTCTTCAAACCGTTGTCGAACATTCTGGAGCACTTGCGGTGTTACTTCGCGACATACATTAATGATTCGTCCTCGCAGATCTTCCAAGGTATCAGGTGGAGTGCTGTAAACTTTGCTTTTAATGTGCCCCCAGAGAAAGAAATCTAAAGGATTTAAGTCGGGTGACCGAGGGGGCCACTCAATTGCACCTCTTCGTCCTATCCAGCGTCCTGGAAACGTCTCATTTAGGTAATTGCGCAC